ATGTATATAATTATATATAATAAAAATGTATATAATTATATATAATAAAAATGTATATAATTTTATATAATATAAATGTATATAATTATGTATGTAATATGAATTTATATAATTATATATAATATAAATGTATATACTTATATATTATATGTTTATATAATATAAATGCATATAATTATATATAATATAAATGTATATAATTCTATATTTTATATATTTATCTAATATAAATTTATATATTTACATAATACATATATAACTCAGAAACAACTACGAGGAAACATACGAATATCTAACCGTCATTATCTTCGGAATGTGGAGGTGATAGGGAATTTTTTTAATGCTCTCCTGCACTTTTTCACATTTTCTACAACGAGTACGTGATAGGTCTAAAACCAGAGAAGTGATTAATGTCATCTAAAGGAGAAAATGGGTATGTCCTGCTCTAAGAAGGGAAATATTTCACGCCGGGTATGAATGTCTCCATGTGTTTGTATTTTCTCCACACGTCATCATGTCGTCCTGTCCCTTCACAAGGTACTAATGGGCGTGCCCTATGGAAGTATTCCCAGAAAGACAGTGCCTCGGGCTGAGGAAGAAAAAGCCATGGATTTTTCGGTCCTTTGGGACTTTGAGGTACCATCACTAACAAGCCAATGCGCTTCTATTCTGTGATTGTGAGGCCTAAAAGATTGCATGGATATGAGTGAAATATTGCATTGAATCACTGGAAAACCAGTGCTTCACTCAAATGGGGTCCCCCACTATGCAAAATGAGCTAGCCAATCATGTCCTCCTAAGTCCCCTCCGTGGGTCCTTTCTCCAGCCACACACTGCCCCCTCTCTCTGCCAGATCCATCTAAATGATCTTACAGGGTAGTTTTCTCTCCCCACACCCACATCAAGACTCCAGGGCTCGCACCAGTTCAGCCGTTCCCAAGCTTCACATGGCATCCTCAACTGAATGTCCTACCTGCTCCTGAAATTCAATGCCTGTCCAGCCAAACCCACATCGCTTTTTTCCATCTCCTTTATTGGAACCACCATCCATCCGAACACGGTGTGAAAGCTGAAAGTCATCCTACGCTTCTCCCTCTTCCCCACCACCACGCCCCACAACCAATCAGCCGCTAAATCTGAGCCTTTCCCCTAAACCCATCTTGACTCCGTCCCCTTTGCCCCATCCCTCTCGCCTCGTCTTCCAATAATGTCCCCACCGTTCCAGGACCATGTCCGAATCTTCTACCTCTGCTCCTTGCTTTGACTTGGCTCCTAAAATCTCCATTCCCTCTGCTGCCAGCGTGATCTTTCTGAAAGGCAAACCTGGCCCTCTCACTTCGCTACCTTGGATATTCATCTATTCCTGTTCCCAAATGGAATAAAATCCAGTGTTTTGAATCAGGTTTACGAAAGAACCGTTCACCATCTGGCCACTCCCTCCCTCTGCAGCTCCATTTCTATCTCAGCCCTCACACCTTATGTTCCTGTATTTGTCACGTTTGGGAGAGATCCCTGAACCCATCACATATCACTGCCTCCCTGCTTCGGCTCAGGACGCTGCCTGAAACGAACTTCCCTCCTTTTTGAATCCCCTCACCTCCGTGCCTCTGGAGGGCTTGGTCTGTAGCTCCAAGGAGTTCCTGAGGCTGAGAGGCCCGGCTGTGACGGTTCAGGCAACAGGTCATTGCTGCTGCTATCCTTCACGCTCCTAGGCAGGTTTGAGACCTCTCAGGTATGCGTGGAAGTGAGTTGGAGTATTTTTCTAAGACTTTGGAATAAGTGTGTTTCAAATAATACTACACAACTAAGTATTATATACAACTACTACTGTGTATTACCACTAAGGATTTCCTTTATTCTTTTTTTCTTTCACTTATTTTTTTTTTAATTTTTTTTTCAACGTTTATTTATTTTTGGGACAGAGAGAGACAGAGCATGAACGGGGGAGGGGCAGAGAGAGAGGGAGACACAGAATCGGAAACAGGCTCCAGGCTCTGAGCCATCAGCCCAGAGCCCGACGCGGGGCTCGAACTCACGGACCGCGAGATCGTGACCTGGCTGAAGTCGGACGCTCAACCGACTGCGCCACCCAGGCGCCCCTCACTTATTTATTTTTTGAGAGAGAGAGAGAGAGAGATTGCATGCACGCATGGGAGGGGCAGAAAGAAGGAGACAGATCTGGAAACAGGCTCCGTGCTGTGAGCGCAGAGCCCAATGGCAGGGCTGAAATTCACAAATGGCGAGATGACCTGAGCCAAAGTCAGACGCTCAGACGCTTAACAGACTGAGCCACCCAGGCGCCCCTCCGTTGTTCTTTATTTCACTCAAGGACTCCTATGGAATATCCTATGTGCCTAAAACAAACTGAATTTACTCAACAGTAATCCTCTGTTTTGTTGTCGCTGTTGCTCCCAATGGGAAAATTTTCTTTTTCTATTTTTTGTAACGCGCCGTTTAAAAAAGTAATCTCTACCCCCAGTGTGGGGCTCAGAGTCACAACCCCAAGATCAAGAGTCACATGCTCCACCCACTGAGCCAGTCCAGGTGCCCCTAAAATGTCTCAGGCCAGAATTAAAGTTTTGGAGAACTTCTATCCATCACCACAAAGCGACAGTGTCCGTTTCTCAGTGATTAAATGCTTTTCTGATGAGATCAACGAAGATATTAACAAAGGTGACTTTTTATTTTTTTATTTTTTTTTTTTAATTTTTTTTTTTTTAACGTTTATTTATTTTTGGGACAGAGAGAGACAGAGCATGAACGGGGGAGGGGCAGAGAGAGAGGGAGACACAGCATCGGAAACAGGCTCCAGGCTCTGAGCCATCAGCCCAGAGCCCGACGCGGGGCTCGAACTCACGGACCGCGAGATCGTGACCTGGCTGAAGTCGGACGCTTAACCGACTGCGCCACCCAGGCGCCCCCAAAGGTGACTTTTTAAATACGGTGTAAGAAGTATGTCAACATTTGGCAGATTTTTATAACGTACGGAACCATTATGTTCCCCGTGACCAAATACATGATGTTACAGAATTACGTGTGGGTGAAAGATAGTACAGGATGGAACAATTAAGCTTTAAAAACTTTACGTCTCGGGGCGCCTGGGTGGCGCAGTCGGTTAAGCGTCCGACTTCAGCCAGGTCACGATCTCGCGGTCCGTGAGTTCGAGCCCCGCGTCGGGCTCTGGGCTGATGGCTCAGAGCCTGGAGCCTGCTTCCGATTCTGTGTCTCCCTCTCTCTCTCTGCCCCTCCCCCGTTCATGCTCTGTCTCTCTCTGTCTCAAAAATAAATAAAAAACATTAAAAAAATTTAAAAAAAAAAAACTAAGAAATTAATCTTGGTAGAATAGTAACTGAAGTGTGGTATTTATTTGGATTTCGCCAATTTTTCCACTAATATTCTTTTTCTATTCCAGGACCCAATTCAAAATCTCATACTGTATTTGTCATGTCTCCTTAGTCTCCTCCAAATCCATGACAATTCTCTGTCGTTCAGTGACCTTGGTACTTTTGAAGAGTACTGGACAGTGGTTTCGGAGAAGGTCCCTCAATCTGGGTATCTGTTCTCTCACGATTGTAGTGAGGTTATACATCACTGGGAAGCCTACCACAGAGATAATATGCCCTTCTCAGGGGGTCAGATCGGGGTTACATTATGCTGATGTGTGTTATTAGTGGTGATATTAACAGTGACCAGTTGGTTAAAGTCGTGTCTGCCAGAATTCTCTGCCATAAAGTTAGTATTTTTCTCTTTTTAATTACTCGGTATTTTGGGGAATGCGATGGATTTTAATATAACAAGGTATGAAAAGTTAATTACGTGATTCAGATTCCACATGACAACTAACATTTAAGATGACCGTTTATTGAGCTTACGTATCATATCCAAGAAACAACCCAGGGGCCCCGGGCTCAGTCTGTGGAGCGTCCGACTTCGGCTCAGGTCACGATCTCACAGTTCGTGGGTTCGAACCCCGTGTCAGGCTCTGTGCTGACGGCTCGGAGCCTGGAGCCTGCTTGGGATTCTGTGTCTCCTTCTCTCTCGTCCCCTCGCCTGTTTGCACTCTCTTTCTCTCCCTCTCTCAAAAATAAATACATGTTAGGGGCGCCTGGGTGGCACAGTCGGTTAGGCGTCCGACTTCAGCCAGGTCACGATCTCGCGGTCCGTGAGTTCAAGCCCCACGTTGGGCTCTGTGCTGACAGCACAGAGCCTGCTTGGGATTCCCTTTCTCCCTCTCTCTCTTCCGCTCCCCCACTTACACTCGCTCTCTCTCTCTTTTTCTCTCTGTCTCTCTCTCTCAAAATAAATAAATACACTTTATAAATAAATAAACTTGGAAAAAAAAGCAAAAATCCCAAATAGAAATGAAAAAAAGACTTGAGGCTCAGATTCGACTGTGAGTCTTATAATGTATAGTTTTCTCTGTAAGTTTTGCACTGAGAAAGCTCACAGACTCCCACCAGCTTCCAGAGTGTTAAATCAAGACCCTGGCATTGTGGGGGGAAAGAATTTGGAGCTCTACGTGCCTGTGTGCGTGCACACGTGCACGCACACACACACACACACACACACACACATACACATACACATGCATGCATCCCCTTATCCCCAATTTTATCCGGGATGTTAGCAACGCTCTCCTCCTCGTCCTGTATCTGTAAGCATTCTGTATAATGGAGAATAAAGAGAACAAAGGAGAGACATGGAGACATGGATAGACTCAGGAGCACTGGGGGAAGTAAGGTACCCACAATTCTTCCTTTCTCCTCTCAGACTCCCATTAACCCCCTGAGAAAGACATTCCCGGTAGAATGAAAGTGTCTGGTGACTATATGTACGAAGCTTACAAACCCGGAGCGTTTGATCTGCTGTCCCGCAGGGCTACATCAAGTATTCTGCTCTCTTCTATGGCTACTACAACAACCAGAGGACTATCGGGTGGCTGAGGTACAGGTTGCCCATGGCTTACTTTATGGTGGGGGTCAGCGTGTTCGGCTATAGCCTGATGATTGTCATTAGATCGTAAGTATGACCGTGTCTTTCACGGGCTTTTCATTTCCTTCACACAAACATCCCGCCCTATGGCCACTCTGTGCCTGCTTACCTTCCTGTGGGAATTTAGAGAGAAAATAAGGAAACAAAGAATGCAGATATGGATTGTCATATGTAGTATGAAAGGCATAAACAGGGTAATAGGGGAAGTTTGGGGAAATGGGATAGAAGCAACTTTACATGATGCTGAGAACTGCCAATCGCACTGAAAGTCTGGGGGACAGCATTGTACGCAAAGGAAGAGCATGTGCAAAGGGCCTGAGGCAGCAAATATCCTAATGAGCTCCAAAACCTGTCAAAGGCCAGTGTGGCTTGAGAGGGAGCAAGTACCTGATAAGGTAAGACCAGAGAAATCTTTAAGGTCTGTTTTTGCTTCCCCTGGAGCTCAGCTTCCTCAAAAAAAAAAAACAAAAAAAACCAACTCTCCTGCTCCTCTGTAACTCTAGCTTGCATGTCAGCACTGAGCCCCTCACTTATCGACAAAACAGCACAAAGGAACGTATATGGTGCGATTAACGACGGGTTAACGATGGTGTCCTCTCTAGCCCCAACTCCACCTGTCTCTGTGGTCAGAAATGGCCTTTTAATTGTCGGTGCCTCTTCATTTATATTCTCTGAAGAAAAACCTTGGCCCATGAATTGCCTTCTTCGAAGCCAGGGGACCCCAATCAGCACAGGACCTCACTCCTCCCAAAAGCGTACGAGTAGCTGCGTCTGCAGGCGAAGAGTGGGGCACTCTGGGAGCCTGGATAGGACCTCTGAAAGGGCAGTGTGCGGGCCCAGCATGGCTTTCTATCACATCATCTCGGGGGAAAACGCTGCCGTCCGCCAGGGCCTGCCCTGAACGTGACAGTAACCACCAGGTGATAGGCAGCCGTCCGGCCAGCTCCATCAGGCAACAAAGAAAAGCAAGGAGATGAGCTTGGCCCTCATGTTGTTACATTTTCCCCCTGCTATTATCCCAGATAAGTACAGAGATATGGAATGTTTCCCCGATGAGCCAGAAAGCTAACTAAGCCCCTGGAGTAGCAAATCCCGAAAGCCAACACATGAGACGGAGAGGCGCGACCTGTCCTGGCTACCGTTAGCCCAATTCAAATCGTCTTGGCTCTCTCCTCCCCATTGGATGTCTGCTATCTGTGCCCCAGACCCGCTGAGGCCAAGGTTCCCTGGGCAGTCATAACAGCAGTGGTGTGCACCCTACAGGATGGCCAGCAATACCCAGGGCAGCGCAAGCGAGGGGGAGAGCGCTAACTTCACCTTCAGCTTCAAGATGTTCACCAGCTGGGATTACCTGATCGGGAATTCAGAGACAGCCGACAACAAGTATGCCTCCATCACCACCAGCTTCAAGGTAGGTGCCTAGAGTAGTTCCCACTTCCTGGGGGGAGCTTCGGGTCCCGCTGGTCATTAGGGGACTTCACCCAGCTAGGGCATGGTGGATAAGATCCCCCAAGTAATTTGTGGTAAGAGCTCTACCCGAAGTGTGGGCCTCGCTCTCAAGCCTTCCGGAAAGGATGCTCAGGACTGATACCCACCGTCTGTTTTTTAATATGGCGGAGACTCATGGATGCTGAGACCTGGTCCTGCCTGTTTCTTCGTGGACCTGTTTTCTGCCAGAGGGAGTAGAAGGACTCACGTGGGGCTGCAGTTCTCAAGCTGTTATGCACGATGGAATCACCTCAGCAGCTTTAAAAATCTTTTGGACCCAAACCCCCAGAGATTCTGGTGTCATTGGTCAGGCGCTGGGGACTTCCTTGCAATGGATTCTTTCGAAGCTCTCTGACAGATTAGGAAACCTAGAAACAGTAGCGAATGCTGGTTGTGGGAGTCAATTAAATGTGCAACTCCAGGGGCGCCTGGGTGGCTCAGTCGGTTGGGCGTCCGACCTCGGCTCAGGTCATGATCTCGCGGTTCGTGGGTTCGAGCCCAGCGTCGGGCTCTGGGCTGACGGCTCGGAGCCTGGAGCCTGCTTCGGATTCTGTGTCTCCCTCTCTCTCTGCCCCCTCCGCACTTGTGCTCTGTCTCTCTCTGTCTCTCAAAAGTGAATAAACGTTAAAAAAAAAAAAAATTTTTTTTTAATGTGCAACTCCATACTTAATTATCTCATCGATTTGTCACAAAAGATATGTGAGGTGGCCTATACATCTCTATTTATTTAAAAAAATAGAAGCAGACCTAAGGGTAAGCAAATGAATGAAGGCAGAAATTGGTATGCCAAAGCACTGTGCATCTTATTTTTTCCCTCCATAACTGTAAACACCATTCAGAGCTATTGATAGTTCAATATTTCCCCCATGCGACCAGTCAGACTTTCTTCCCTCTCGACCTGCCAAAGGTCGGATGCACGACATCAGTGTGCTTGTCTTCTTCCCTCCCCTCTCTCCTTGCCCTTCCTGGCCGAAGAGGGCTGCTGCAATGCAGACAGACGGCAGGGGCACCCACCAGGGGCAGAGCTTGGGCTCAGCAGCTCACTACATGGGTTTCATGAGCCCACAGTCCTGACCGCTTGGCAGTGGGGCGCTCAGGGAGCTGCCTGGGTTCTCCTCCCTTCTCCTTCTCCCAGCACCGGGGGCCCATTGACAGAGCATCCAAGGGCAGGAAAGGGATCAGTGAGGGCTCTGCCTCTTCCTCCAGGCCTATCTGAGAAAGACAGAGAAGGTCAATGCCTATGAAGCACTTTAAACATCTGGGAAGGTGAAAGCTGCTTCTCCGAGTCTATTAAAACCAGGGATAAACCCTTACATAACGGGACACATGTGCCAACAGCATGAGCTGAGGTATATTAACGGGTTGATAAATTAGTCAAATCTGAACCTGAATATAGTAACTGTTTATTGAGTGGAAAAGTCTCCTTCCAGGTACTTTGGAAACTGGGAGGCCTCATTTACCATCTTTGGTCTGCCATATACTGCCATCTTGTGTCTTCATAGAGAATTACGGATGCAGGATGCAAAGTTTATAATAAAAAAAATCTATTGTATTTTTATATACTAACAGCAAACAATTGGAAAAATTTTTTTAATTCCATTTACAATAAAATTACATGAATTACATAAAATTCTTAGGAACAGAGTTAACGACAACAAATATACAAGATGGCTACACCAAAAAATATGACAGTTCTGAAAGAAATTAGGAAACTCTAAATAAATAGATATACCATGTTCATAGATTAGAACAGGGATCAGCAAATTATGGCCCAGGGGAAAATCCAGCCTCCTGCCTATTTTTGTAAATAAGATTTTATTAAAACAAAGCCATGCCGGGGCGCTTGGGCGGCTCAGTCGGTTGAGCCTCCGACTTCGGCTCAGGTCACGATCTCGCCGTCCGGGAGTTCGAGCCCCGCGTCAGGCTCTGGGCTGATGGCTCAGAGCCTGGAGCCTGTTTCCGATTCTGTGTCTCCCTCTCTCTCTGCCCCTCCCCCGTTCATGCTCTGTCTTTCTCTGTCTCAAAAATAAACATAAACATTAAAAAAAAATTAAAAAAAAAAAAACAAAACAAAGCCATGCCTATTTATTGCCATATTGTCAAAGGTTGTTTTCATGGAGTTGTGAGAGAGACCATATGATTTGCAGAGCCCAAGCTATATACTATATGGCTCTTACTAGAAAATGTTTGCTGGCCCCTGGATTAGAAGACTCAATATTCTTAACATTTCATTTTAATCTATTTAATCTATAGTTTTAAAACAATCCCAGTCAGACAGTTACTGAAATATTTTCCGGGCCTTAGTATCTGAGATATGGGTAATAATAGAAACTACTCCATTGGTTTGTTTTGGGGATTAGGAGAGATAATGCAAAGCAAGGGTTTAGTACCACGTCTGGCATATAGTAAGTATTCAATAAATCTAAGCTTTTGTTATCACATGTTCCAAAATAGCAATAACAATAAGCTATATCGTCTCAAAGAAAATTATTCTCCATAGGGCAACAGTGCTCTGCACCACCTCCTTTGTATTATTTCATGTATGAAAATATAGTAAATAGTCATCTCAGAAACCCAACAACAATGGTTCCTATTGGTTCCTGGCCTGTAATTATTCACATCTCCTTTCCACACATTAAGGAATCGATAGTGGATGAACAAGAGAGTAACAAAGAAGAAAATATCCATCTGACAAGATTTCTCCGGGTCCTGGCCAACTTTCTCATCATCTGCTGTTTGTGTGGAAGTGGATACCTCATTTATTTTGTGGTGAAGCGATCGCAGGAATTCTCCAAAATGCAGAATGTCAGCTGGTATGAAAGAAATGAGGTAAAGAAGACATCTCTGTGGAAGTGAATATTGAGGGCAAACACAGAAATTATACTCATTCCTATGCCATTCTGCTGAATTAATTGAAAATCTGGATTATGGGACATGTTTTAAAGAGTGAAATTACATCCCTTTCTAGTCAGGTAGCATGAACATTTGAACCAAGAGTCACCTCTTATAAGGCTTTTGTAGGTCGATAAAGCTGCATTATCATTAGCATGTCAGTCAACTGAATAGTCAGTTGTCTTAGCACCAATTATTAAAAAGGTGATCCTTTCTTCACAGCTCTACAGTGCCATACATCAAAAATCAAGTATCTGCTAATGTGTGGGTGTGATTCTGGGATCTCTAATCTATTCCATTGGTTTATTTACCTGTTCCTGCACTAAACACACACTGATAAACTATGGCTTTAGAGTACGTATTGATATCGGGTAGACTGAGTTCCCTCCCAACAAGATCCACAATAAGATGCATTGAAGTTTCATTGTAATTATATTAAATCCGTAAATCTCTTTTGGCAATCTAACATCTTAGTAGCTAGCAAAAATGGCTACAAATTCTTCCCCTTATTGTATTCCTATATTTGTTTGCAATATGATTTTCTAACTCCTCTCATGAAGAGGTGGAATCTGTTTCCCCATCCCTTGAATCCAACTAGGCTTGGCCATGTAAGCTCCTTTAGCCAATGAGACTGTAACACCCATGATATAAGCAGACTTGAAAAGGGCTTGTGTATTAGAACTTGCTCTCTTGGAAACCCCGAGACCTCCACCATGTGAATAGTTCCAGACTAGCCTATTGAATGATGAGAGATACAGGACCCATTTATCTCATCATTCTACATTATAGCCAGCCAATGACCAGACATATGAATGAAGCCATCAACCATCAGCTGACCACAGATACACGAATGAAGCCAGGTGAGGCCAGCAAAAGAACCACCTACCTAAGCCCAGAGAACAAAATACTGACCCACAGAATTATGAGCTACATAAATTAAATAAAAAGAATCTATTTCCTCCCACAAAGCAAGAAAGGATAAAAAAAGAAATATGGAACTTCTAGGACAAATGTAAAGCACAAAATCAGACAGATTTAAATCTAAACCTATCAGTGATTACAATAAATGTAAATGGATTACAACTACAGTTTAAAGGCAATGATAATTGGATTGAATTTTTTAAAAACTACATGCTATTTACAATGAACCTATCTAAAACATCAGGTGACTAAGCTGTGAGGGGGATACAAAAGATGCTTGAGATGGATTCTGCCCTTAAGTGGATTTTGTAGTTTCCTTAGGAAGCAGATTTGACAAGAATAAACCAAAGTACGAACAGAAATAGGCTGGAGTAGTGATCAAATAAGATGTTTTGGGTTACAGATGTGTGGCAGGTGGAGAGGCCAATGTGAGCTGGAGAGACAGAAGGAGTTTGTGGCAAAGGCAGGAATTAGGCTGTGCATTAAAGAAACATGTGAAGAAAGGTAGCGGTGGAAGAGGTGCAGTGATGGCTTTCCAGGTGGGAAGCACTGCATGAGCCGGTGTGAAGGTATGAAGATGATGAGAAACCAAGCCAACAGTCAGTGTGGCAGAATGTGAGGGAGTCAGAACCAGCCCAGAAGAGTTGACCCACCTGTACCTTGGTCAGCAGTTTAAGGATTTACTCTCCACTAGATGAGCAGTTTTAATTTCAGAAAGAATGTTCTACTGTGGTCAGGTTCAGTTACACGAGTAGGATTCTCCCAAAATTGGAGCCAAAATTTAATGCTTACCAGGCTCTGGGCTAGTAGACTTACATCCATCATCTCTTCTGACTCTCACAACAAGAACTGTCTTTCCCACTTTAGATGTGAAGAAACAAGGAGCCTGAGCTCCTATCTCTGAAGGAATTATGTAACTTTTCCTAAATTACAAAGCCAGCAAATGATAGAGCTGGGGTTCAACCCCAGAGAGCTAACTCCAAATGGCATACTCTATTTTTAAAATTTTTTGTTGGGGCGCCTGGGTGGCGCAGTCGGTTGAGCGTCCGACTTCAGCCAGGTCACGATCTCGCGGTCCGTGAGTTCGAGCCCCGCGTCAGGCTCTGGGCTGATGGCTCAGAGCCTGGAGCCTGTTTCCGATTCTGTGTCTCCCTCTCTCTCTGCCCCTCCCCCGTTCATGCTCTGTCTCTCTCTGTCCCAAAAATAAATAAACGTTGAAAAAAAAAATTTAAAATTTTTTGTTAAGTTTATTTATTTTTGAGAGAGAGAGAGAAGAGATGAAGAAGGGGGAGAGAGAGAGAGAGAGAGAGAGAGAGAGAATCCCAAGCAGGCTCTGCACTGTCAGCACAGAGCCCGACATAGGGCTCAATCTCACGAACCGTGAGATCATGACCTGAGCTGAAATCTAGAGTCAGACCATTAACCGACTGAGCCACCCCAGCACCCTGAAATGCGATACTCTTAACCACATCTCCCTGCTATTAGTTCCCTCCTGTGATTTGAGCTGCCTGTCTTCCATGCTCCTGAGATAAGAGCTACCACAGTGACTCTTGCCCAGCTCATGACTTTTACAGAACACAAAACACTGTTCCATATGTTAATTCATCTATTTCTCAAAGAAAGTTTGTTATTTCTATCAAGACTAATGGCAACATCATGAGAGCAACCAGTCACAGAGCAGGTATGATGTGTGGGACATACAGTGACTGCTCAGGGTGTGTTGGTCCCTTAGCCAAGGCCACACAGCAAGTTGTGGAGACCAGAGGGCATCTCCAGAGGCAGAGGAGGGGGCAAGAAGGAGCCGGGGATTCATGGCCCTAGGGAGTGCAGAGACGGTGGCCAAGCAAGTGATATTAATGGCACAAGTCATCCAGGCTTTCCTGATTTTCTCAGGTAGAAATTGTGATGTCCCTGCTTGGTATGTTTTGTCCCCCTTTGTTTGAAACCATCGCTGCCCTGGAGAATTACCACCCACGCGTTGGACTGAAGTGGCAGCTCGGACGCATCTTTGCACTCTTCCTGGGGAACCTCTACACATTTCTCCTGGCCCTGATGGATGATGTTCACCTCAAGGTAAAGACCACCAACTCCCCCTAATCCCTCGTGCCCACGAAATTTCCTTTTTCCACTGTAATAATTTCCTTATGAGTAATTCCTATTAAGCGAAGAAACTTTGGAAAGTTGGGGAAATGAAAATGAAGAAAAAAATATCCCCAGAATCCTACGACCCAAAGACAACCATTGTTAACATTGCGCTGCAGGTCTTTACGGTTTTTTCCTTAGTTGTCTTTTTTTACATCATATACGTGTCATTTGGTCCCCTTAATATTTTATCTGCAGCCTCTCCTATGTTGTATCGTAGCTGCCATAAATGTTTACCAACCAAGTAAGTGTCCATTGAGATGATATGGCATGATTGACCCAACCTTTCATCACTGCTCACCTGGCGGTTATGGAGCACCCACTATGTCAGGCCCTGAAGGTACAGCAGACAGCAGGACATGGTGCTGTTCCAAGGGTATTCACATCTAGGGTGGGAGACAGACTCATTCATTACAGCGTGCTGTGGCATGTGCTTCGATGGGGGCAAGCCCAGGCAGCATGGCAGTGCATAGGAGGGACTCCAGATTTCCCCTGCCCAACCTGAGAGTCTTACAAGACACTGGAAAAAACAGAGGGAACAGCTGGTCCAAACAAGGAACTGCAGGATGGCTAAGAAAGGAACAGAGGGAAGAAGGGGAAAAGGAACCTAAGGGAAGGGTCAAATGATGATGGTCCTCTTCCCCACCCCTTCCTCCTCATTATTGGGCTGCATGAATTTTTACCTGAGGTTATCAGAAAGCTATTGGAAGGTTCTAAGCATGGAAGTAATTGTATCTGTCCTTTGTCTACCCCTCCACCTTCATTTCTGGCTTTCCTCCTACCCCAGTGAAATGCTCTCTTCTCCTGAACCTCACATTTCTTCCCCAGGACAAAAATTTCTCTTGCCTGTCTCTCCACCCTTCTCCCCTTCTTTGACTAGTTGACTAATCCTCCCCGAGGTTGTGTCTCAGATGTCACTGCCTCCAGGAGATTCTCTGTGGCCCCCAGGGTCTGATGTGGATTTCCTTGGTCCCCAGAGGATAGTTCCCATAGCTCTTAACCCTCCATCTCTGTCACCTACTAGACTGTGAACTTTCTGAGGGAAGCCTGTCTCTCTTGTGCACTCTTGTGTCACCCTGCCTGGCATGCCCAGAATAGACTCTCAAAGAAATTATTCTCAAAAGAAGAATGAACGACTGGATAGATGGATGGATGGATGGATGGTTGGATGGATGGATGGATGGATGGGTGGATGGATGGATAATAACTTAGAAAAGATAACTTCGTAGAAAAGACCCAAGGACTTCAGCCAAATGCCCCCCTCTCTCCTGTACAGACTGAAAGGCTGGGAAGGTATTCTTATAAAGACTGTTGTGGGGTAGGACAGAGGCTAGGTGGCAGGGTAGTGGCATATTCTGCTTTAATTGTTGTTCCCATGGAAACAGTTGGACCACCCTTGGCTCCTTCCAATCCACATCTCCATCTTCCATTTTAGCTTTCTAATGAAGAGAAAACAAAGAACCTCACTCACTGGACTCTGTTTAACTATTACAACTCCTCGGGTTGGAATGAGAGTGTCCCCCGGCCACCCCTGCACCCTGCAGATGTGCCCCGGGGTTCTTGCTGGGAGACAGCTGTGGGCATTGTGAGTAATTTTGCTTCCCTGAAAAAGTGATCCCTGTTCTCGTTCTTCTTCGGAAAGTTTCACCTTTTCTCTTCTCCGTTTTTTTTCAGCATCCCACACATTTCTCTGAATGCTCTGTTCAGCAGTCTAATGCCACTTGTATTCATTTAGAGTTTTACTGCAGATTTCACTGAAAGCCTGAGGCTTCTCCACCCGGAAATAATGAACAAATACTCCTAAAAATTGAATGCAGGATTCGTGTGTGTATATGCCTCTGTGCATTATTGTAAAGAGAATTAATGGTTTGGATTAGTCTCAACAATTAATAACTACCCTTTCTCCTAACCACTGTCACCACTGTTCCTGTGGGTCGCACCGTGTGGACTTCAAAGGCTAATGTCTTTCGCCTTCCTGGGCAGACACTTAAAGTATTTGCAGGCAACACAGGGATCAGTGGCCCTCTTCTCCTCAATTTTTGCACAAGATTTCTATTCGTATGCCACCCCGCTGAGACGCAGAGTTTATCACTTCTTCATGGGCTCCCTGAAGAACCCACTCACACCCACCCGCATCAGACAACAGTGTTTTTAACTGAGAATGGCGAAGTACAATGAAGGAGGGGATTACATCACTCAGTCCATCAAAGACTGCCTATGAATCCACAAGCAGATGTTTTCCTGCTGCACAGTGTCCTTCCCATGTGGCCCTGGGGGGCCTTTCCTCCCTCCTGCCCCCCGAGCCTTCCCTCCATGGAGGGCTCAGACTCACCATTTCTCGTCTCCTCCAGTCCAGATTCCCCCATACTCTTTAAATCCTCCTCTTCGTTATTGTACAAAGCAACCCAGCTTCCCTAGCTCATGCATTTCTAAAGCCCTCACGTGTGTAACAGAGAAAGCGTCCTCAAGTCAATGAAACCCACCCTCCTTAGAAGGCCGAAGAGAGTTTATTACCTACATGGTTCCTTTGGAGTATTCTGCGATAGAATGTCTCATTTCCTGCCTGGATGCCCATCACCGTTCCAAACACTGATTAAAGCTTGTCTCTTTCTGAACCTGTAGCAATGACGAGTGTGAGCTGCTAAATACTGCTCACCTGTACCCTCCACCACCTCCACCCCAGGCCCCAGAGCATCACCTTGCCCAGACGTGGAGACCTGATACACGTTGATTTGTCTTTTACTTAGGAGCATTAACTTGAATTATTATTGAGGAATACTACCGAAAACTCATCAGCCGTTCATCCAGCATTTATTAATCATCTTGGAGGATGCAAACAATGAATAAAGCAGACCCTGTGCCCCATAGGAACTCCAAGATGTCTTAAAAATTGTGATAATGCCTGGTGGATCTTTTCCACTTTTTTAAATTAATAAATTATATTCACCCTATAAAGCAGAGAAAAGCTTTGCTTTTGGCTCTTCCATTGTGTGCCTCGTGTAAAATCTGCATTATTATCTCCATATAGCAAGCAAAACATCCAATTAGCAGGAGATGAAGAATGCTGGCTGTTGTCCTGAGGGCAAGTGGTCAGATTCAGTCTTAGCTGGGGGCAGCTGCGCGTCAGAGGAGGTGGGGGAAGGAGGAAGACTTCAGATCCTCTCTCTGTGCAACAGTGCTGATAACTACCATATACTGGGCCTTGCCAATGTGCCGGGCAATTCCCATGCATAATCACTAAGCTTCCCAATAACCCTGCAAGGCTGATATCATTATCAGCTTCGAGAGGCCCCGAGATTATTCCAAAGCAATGCAATTGGTAACTTGTAGAGCCAGGACCTAAAAATAAACATTTTCCCAAGCCGAGGGGCCTCTTTCTGCACTACCTCTCTGTCACCAAGAACCAGAAGGTCGCAGAGAAGATTCAGGTGGGTGAGGAAGACTTTGCATGGCTGCAGTCCATTGGAAGGGATCGGCAAGGTTTGACCTTAACCATACCCTTTTCCTGTGTTCCGCCTTGCAGGAATTCATGAGGCTGACGGTGTCTGACATGCTGGTAACCTACATCACCATCCTGCTGGGGGACTTCGTGCGAGCTTGCTTCGTCCGGTTCATGAACTACTGCTGGTGCTGGGACCTGGAGGCTGGGTTTGTAGGTCACCGTTTCAGGGACGTTTCCGCAGGAAGGCATCTCAGTCATCCTGTCTGATATAGCCAGATGCATTCCTAGGCATTTATTTAGATAATTGATGCCAATCTCTGCTCTGGGAAGTATTGACGTATCCCACGTGTATGTCCTTTAAGTGTCATATTTGCCTTCTCAGAGGAAACTCCACTTCCCCCACGCCCCCGTGTAATTAACAATGCAGCCTTCCTATCCGGGAAATGGGGGCATTTGGTCTGGGGAAAAGTGGATCCCATGCTTCAGTGCTGAGCAGACAGTAGTAAAGAAATGCCACAGTGGCATCGCCTCTCATTCGAGAAGGCAAAGAACACTAGCCTTTGAAGTCCGCACTGAGCAAGCGATGGGAACGGTAATGGAAGTGGATGAGGGGACAAGGTAGCTCGTAATTTTTGAGACTCTGTGAAATCTCGGGGTGGGAGAGGGCAGATGCGGACATGACTGTTTCAGAAAGTCTTGGAACACCCAAAGAACACAGTCGCCATTGGTGCAGTCTTCTGGATTATGCTCTGAGAAACCTCTTTGGACTCATTCCCTCCACCTGGAATACTCCTCTTCCCCACCTACCTAGGAAACTGCTCGTTCTAAATGTGGGTCATTTCCCCTCTGGGTGGCCTTCTGTGATATGGCAGAATCTCTGGCCTCATCCATCCTGTGTGTGGTTCTCTCACAACACATCACTCACTGACCCTGTAGTCACTGGTGTTGGGGTGGGGGGGCACTTTCCCTGAACTGAGCCCCATATCTTGTTTACCTGAGTCGTTTTCATCCTGGCCTGCAATAGAATTGGCTTGGCCTCAGGGCGCCTGGGTGGCGCAGTCGGTTAGGCGTCCGACTTCAGCCAGGTCACCATCTCATGGTCCGGGAGTTCGAGCCCCGCATCGGGCTCTGGGCTGACGGCTCAGAGCCTGGAGCCTGCTTCCGATTCTGTGTCTCCCTCTCTCTGACCCTCCCCTGTTCATGCTCTGTCTCTCCCTGTCTCAAAAATAAATAAAAACGTTTAAAAAAAAATTTTTTTTTTAATTTTTTTTCAATCTTTATTTCTTTTAATTTTTTTTAACGTTTATTTATTTTTGAGACAGGGAGAGACAGAGCATGAACAGGGGAGGGTCAGAGAGAGGGAGACACAGAATCGGAAACAGGCTCCAGGCTCCGAGCTGTCAGCACAGAGCCCGACGCGGGGCTCAAACTCGTGAAACGCGAGATCATGACTTGAGCTGAAGTCGGCCGCCTAATGGACTGAGCCACACAGGCGCCCCAAGGAAAAAATTTTTTTTTATTTTTAAATTTTTTTTTTCAACGTTTATTTATTTTTGGGACAGAGAGACAGAGCATGAACGGGGGAGGGGCAGAGAGAGAGGGAGACACAGAATCGGAAACAGGCTCCAGGCTCTGAGCCATCAGCCCAGAGCCCGACGCGGGGCTCGAACTCCCGGACCACGAGATCGTGACCTGGCTGAAGTCGGACGCTTAACCGACTGTGCCACCCAGGCGCCCCCCAAGGAAAAAGTTTTTAATATTCATTTTTAATCTATTTTGTTTATGGAGGGGGGAAGGGGCAAAGAGAGAATTCCAAGCAGGCTGTGCTCTGTCAGTGCACAGCCTGACATGGGGCTCGATCTCACGAACCATGAGATCATGACCTGAGCCAAAATCAACAGTTGGATGCTCAACTGACTGAGCCACCCAGGCGCCCTGGGGTGAGGAAAAACTTTCTAACCGGGACACAAAACCCAGCAGATGAGAAGTTTTTAAAAATATTTTTAAATGTTAAATTTCAAATTTCTAAGATTTAACCCTCACGTATCTGGAATACGTATGTTTCCTCCCTTGATCCATGCCTGACCTTCCTTTCTCTCTCTCTTGACTTCTTCCTCCTCCTCCCCGCCCCCCCCATCACCTTTGACCTCCATTCCCCGAAGGACAAACGGGGAAGTCAGTTTAAGCCTGCTGCATGAGGAGGCCCAACTCCCTAGTGCTCACACACTTTGCGTTCTTTCACATAGTTGACAGATCTCCGAAACTCTGAAAATCAAATTCAGGCTGAAAATAGGAATCTGGCTGAGCTCTTTCCTTTCCATGAACTGCTCTGAGACTAGAGGAAGGTGAAAAGGAGAAAAGAGAATTGAAAGAGTGGTTTAGTTACTTTAAGAAAATGTTTATTATGTTTATTTATGTTTGAGAGAGAGAGAGAGAGAGAGAGACAGAGTGCGAGTAGGGGAGGGGCAGAGAGAGAGGAAGTCTCAGAATCTGAAGCAGGCTCCAGGCTCTGAGCTGTCAGCCCGACACAGGGCTCGAACTCACAAGTGTGAGATCATGACCTAAGCAGAAGCCGGTCGCCTAACCAACTGAGCCACCCAGGTGCCCCTGCCTGTTTGCTTTCAAAACTATGGTTTTTATTTGACTCCTCATCTGATTACTCGCATTTGGTTATTTATTCGATTTATGCCTCGGCTATAATTTCAAGGTCCATCTCTGATTAGAGCATGGATAAAACGTTCTCCTAGGGGCTAGTGCCCTCCCAAGAACACACTGTTGGCCTGCAATCCCTTAAAGGTAAAAATTCTCACTTTTTTCGTCGAAAAAGTCATTGGAAAAAATTTCAACTTTGAGAACTTCAAATCTTCTCTTGAAACGTGGAAAACGTGTTAAAGAAACAGAGCCGTGAAGCCCAAGTTTCTTCAGTCACCAGAGCAGGCCCTTTCGGATAGAGTGGCCTTGGCTTAGCCGGTTGGCTGGTAATAGAGGCTGTCTGATACCTAACGGATTCCTTTCTCTCTGTCTGCCTCCCCCTGCAGCCCTCTTACGCTGAGTTCGATATCAGTGGAAATGTACTCGGTTTGATCTTCAATCAAGGAATGATCTGGTGAGCTCTGCATTTTCTATCTGGGGACCACCTCATCGGGGGAGTCAGAAAAGTGGCATCCCAGGCTTTGCCCCCCAGCTAGCTGGGGAGAGGCTGGACAAATCTTCAGACCTCTCTGAACTGCCTCTTTTGAGATGACAAATAGAGGGCAGGATGGGATGAGAACCAGGGCAGTGTCTGGCCAACCCATGTGCTACCATAGAGTGGGGAGGGGAGATGAGTAGGAAGAAAGAGAGGGGAATGAGAAGGAGGAAGGAAAAAAGGAAGAAGTAGAGAGGGGAGGAAGGAGGAGAAAAAAAAAGGAGAGAGGGAGGAGAAACAGAGGGGAAAGGAAAGAAAGAGGGAAGGAGGGAGAAAATAGGAAGGAGAGGAAGAGTAAAGGAGCCAAGGGGCTCCCTCCTCTGAGACACGAGTTGGAAGAAAAGGCTGCGTAACTTCAGCCAAAGACTTTCAAGACTTCCGAGGGCTCGCCGCAAGCCAGTGTCCAATGCTCTCAATTTAAGGACTTCAGACACTTTTCTGGGCAGCAGTGCTGTTTTAGGGGGGCCACGGAGAAATGGACCGGAGGCCAAAACATTTGCTAGGTGCCTTGTGGTGAGACAGTGGTTAAATCCTGGCCAGAGCCCAAGCCGGGGGTGCTCGGAGCGCCTCCTTCCCCTGAGGAACCGGTGGCCAAGGCTTGGTGAGAAATGTCCTGCTTACGTGGGAGACCCCAGCCCTCGGGACCTGCAGGGAAAGCAGCTAGGCTTCGCGCTCCCAACCCCTCGGTCCCGTTTCCTCCTGTCTTCCTTCCCTGGCCTCTCCTGCTGTTGGGCCAACCAGGTGTGTGATGTCTGCCCTTCCAGGATGGGCTCCTTCTATGCCCCGGGCCTGGTAGGCGTCAACGTGCTACGTCTGCTGACCTCCATGTACTTCCAGTGCTGGGCGGTGATGAGCAGCAACGTCCCCCACGAGCGCGTGTTCAAAGCCTCCCGATCCAACAACTTCTACATGGGCCTCCTGCTGCTGGTGCTCTTCCTCAGCCTCCTGCCCGTGGCCTACGCCATCATGTCCCTCCCGCCCTCCTTTGATTGCGGGCCGTTCAGGTGCACAGGCTTAGTCACCCGGGGACAGCTCCTCTCCCAAGGCAGCCCGCTCAGAGGGTGCTGGCTCAGAAGGCCAGGTCTAGCGTCACATCGGGCTGCGAAGGGCCATGGAGCCTTGGGCAAATCATCAGGGCTGTTCAATAGAGATTGTTGCAGGGCCGGAAGGGTTCTATGGCTGCGCGATCCAATATGGTAGCCACCAGCCACACGTGGCTACTGAGCACCTGAAATGAGGACCGAGAAACTAAATTTCTATACTTCATTACAATTCATTTTCACTGAAAGAACGAGAAACATGGCCGAAGGCTACCATGTTGGACAGCACAGCTCTGACCTTTTAACATCTGGATAATCTACAGCCCTGGATTACCTTACTGTAGCATGAGTAATGGGAGATATTCTGAAGACGAAATAACCATACATTTGCAAGCGCCTTTCAAGCGTGAAGCAGCCACTGAGACCCTGGCCTGGGTCCCCACGCTCTGCAGAGCATTTGTCAGTGCTGTGGGCTCAGGGGATAAGCCGGACTAGTTTAGGGGGCTGGGCGTTGCGTAAAGAAATAAATAATTGCATAAGGAGGTACATCGAGAAGCCATATGCATCTGTTGCTATCTTTCCAAGTGTGAGGCCCCTTGGAAAGAAAGCCATCTCTCTACTTCGTAAGAAGGAGTTCTGTGGTTCAAGCAGTTTGGAACATGCTACCCCTTTCACCCGCCACCTTCTCACTTAGAAATGCTGGAGGCACACTCTTTATTAAAGGATTGGAAGAATCGTGCGATAAGATCACGAATGCACACCAGTGTCTCCAGCCTTATTGACCACAGACTCTTTCTTCATGTAACAACCATCCAGGGCCAGGAGTAAGGTGAGGCCAGGAAGGAAGCTCCATGAGGGTGTGATGTTTGCTTCCTTTCTCGCTGCTTCATACGCGGCGTCTAGAAGAGCACATCTGGTTTATGGTCACCGCTCAAGCTAGACCCTTCACGTCACAAAAATTCACTTGTACAGGGAGGGACTTAGGGTTCCAACCAGATCCAGGCAGGCAACATAAATGAACGAGATGGGCAATATTGCATAACATAAAGTTTTTGCAAATAAAGTGTAATTGGAGTACAGCCACACCCACTTGCTTACTTCTAATCTACGGTTGCTTTCTCAATATAACAGCAGATTTGAGTCATTCCAACAGAGACCATCCGGTTCAAAAAGCCTGAGATTGTTATTGTCTAGCTCTTTCCAGAAAAAAAAAAATCACCAACCCCCTGACTTAGAGCATAGACTCTCCAGTCAGCTCTGTCATTTGCCAGCTGGGTCATCTTGAGAAGTTACTTAGCTCCCAACACCACAAGCTAATTGCCTCTAAGATGGAAACAACGGTAGTGCCTACCCCAGAGGGTTGTTTTGAAGATTTAGTGTATTATTTGCCAAGTACTTAAAGGCGTGTGCTAATCCATAGTAAGCCAAACTTGAGCCCTGGCCAAACTGGGGGTGAGCTGGGACTCATAACAATGCTATGAGGTGGGAGGCATTATCTACACAAGGGCTTAGCTAACTTTTTCTGTAAAGAGCTTTAGGAATCAAGAGGAAAAATCAAGCATATCATGTAAGTACTGATCTAACAAGAGAAAGAAATGGCCACAAAGTTTTTGTTGACGAAATTCAAGATAGGACAAGAGAGAGTAATTTTTTGTAATATAGGTCTACCAGTGAAAAGAATGGAGTTCTTTTATGAGAGGGGGCGATAATATTTCACATAAGAGAGGCTCAAAGTTACTGTTCCCCGTCATCAAACGTCAATTTCACCGCTCAGATGACCACCTTTGCCGCCCGGATCCATCACTGTACCAGACGTGACGACACATCTCCTCCCATAGGAAAACAATTGCCAGTAAGCTTTCCTGCTGCTAAGCCATCGAACCGCTGTGCAGTAGGACAAGTCAGAATAGTTGGCTTCTATCTCTTTCCTTTTTTTAAAGTTTTGTGTATTGAACTAATCTCTACACTCCACGTGGGGCTCAAACTCAGGACCCTGAGATCAAGAGTCACACGCTCCTCCAACTGAGCGAGCCAGGCGCCCGTGGGCTTCTGTCTCTGACAAAAACGTACATGTTGGAAAAGGACTAAGTCATGAGAGCGAAAGAAGTCCACCATCGACACTACTGATGGCGATTGCGCGTGACAGATTCATCTATTTTCTGCCAATTACCTACAGCTGAATAAGAGAATGAATAACCATAGTCTGCACACATCCAAAATTTCACAAGCTTTGTCAATTTGTCCAGCTAAGCCGTCTTCTGCTCTACACATACTTCGACCGTTATCAGCTACAGCACGTCTTAGCAGATCCATTCCGTTTCACCCACACTGAATTCCATTCCATTCAATGGAATGGGTACATTCTCGATGGAATTCGGGGCTAGTTGTACCAAATTAGGGTTTACTTAACTTCTTTGAGAAATTTTCAGCCAAATTTGTTCCACACAGTATATTCACAGAAATCAGTCCTTCAGCCACTTCAAACTCGGCACTAATTCCTCAAATGAACAACTGAGCTGCATCAGTAACATCTATGGACCCGTCAAGAGCCAAAGAAAAGCACTCGAAGTCATTTGCCGTCCTTTGAATACAATGTTGCTCTCAGTGTCCTCAACTCTTCCAGCAGCTGCTTTTGCCGGAAACTCTAAAAGTCTTAAGTAAGTTTCTTTTCTCCAGATGCATTTCTTCAGCTCCTGCAATCAAACGCAGTTTAATTACTGCACCACTGGTCAGTGACGAACATAATTTTGGAAAGCGGAGGAAGGCGGGCGGAGGGGGGGGTGGTCCTTGCTATATAGAGAACAGAAAGCTTCGCTGAATTATGTCCAACAAGTGTATGGAAATCTGAATTTATAAATCATGAACTTGCATGTTTGGCTAAGGAGGCTTCTACGCAAAGTGTTGAAGGTGCAGCCTGGTTTCTTCTCGCTTTAAACTGAAACGTGAGAGGAAAGAGATAAATTGAGAAAAGAGCTTGACGAGAGAAAAGGGACCACAAGTTGATGATTTGGGAAAACCTTACCCAGATTGAAAAAGACCCTAAAAACGAATTCATGGTCAGGAAAGCACACTCGAAAGAGAAAACGAAGGGGCAGCCTGGGCAACTTTTTGCTAGTGCTTCGGAAGAATCAAAAAACCTGAATATTCATTCATGCAGAGGATTTTTTTTTTAAGCTTGTGACTGGGATCCTCTCAACCACCCCAGCGGAAGCCAAAAGTAGAGAGAGAATTCTCCAGAAAAGATCTGGGTACCACCCTCTGGTCTAATTCCCACAACCTACATGGAAGACCCACCAGGCACTTAAGAATGTTATATAAGCCGGGGCTCCGGGGTGGCTCCGTCGGTTGAGCATCTGGCCTCGGCTCAGGTCATGATCTCACAGTTCGTGAGTTCGAGCCCCGCGTCGGGCTCTGTGCTAACAGCTCAGAGCCTGGAGCCTGCTTCGGATCCTGTGTCCCCCTCCCTCTCTGCTCCTCCCCTGCTCCTGCTCTGTCTCTCTCTCTCTCTCTCCCTCAAAAATAAATTTAAAAAATTGTTAAAAATTTTAAGAATGTTATACAAGCCAGCTTTAACCGTTATCTCATGGCCGACTGACCAGTGTGTTCGTGGAGTAAAGAACTTGTTTTCTGGTTTCCCCGGTCCACAGATAGACAAGAATTTTGCTCCAAGATGAACCCTATCCAGAGGCACATCTATACCTGATTTAGATGATGAAATTTGGGACTTTTGAGCTGATGATGTTTAGATGAGATTTTGGACTTTGGGTTGATGCCATAATGGGCTGCAACTTTGGGGGAGGAAGGGAAGGCAAAGAATGTGTTTTGCAGGTGGGACAAATGTGAATCTTCAGGGACCAGAGAGGATGCAGTGGTGGGCTGAATAACAGCTCCCCAAAATATTTATGTCCTAATCCCTGCAACCTGCGGGTGGTAGCCTTTGCCAATGTGATTAAGCTAAGGATCTTGAGATGGGGAGATTATCCTAGATTATCCAGGTGAGTCCTAAATCACGAGTGTCCTTATTAGAAGGGGACAGAGGGAGATTTGACCACAGAAAAAACAGAAAGTGATGTGACCATGGAAGCAGCGAGAGATTTGAAGATTCTATGGCACCAGCTTTGAAGAAAGAGGAAGGGGCCATGAGCCAAAGAATGCAAGGAGTAAAGGTCTAGATACTGAAAAAAGGCAAGGAAACAGATTCGCCCCTGGAACCTCCCTCTGAAGGGAGCGCAGCCACGCCCAACGCCGTGGTTTCAACCCAGTGAAACACGTCAGACTTCTGGCCTCCAGCACGATAAGAGAACAAATTTGTATTATTTGAAGTCACCCGTGTGGGAATCTGTTGTAGCGCATACTGGAAACTGATACATCATCTAATACATCACGATTCAAGGACAAAATAACCCATGCTTGACTGTGACTTGAAATCAGAACACATGAGATTTGCTTTTCTTGTGTTTACATGACGGGTAGGTGCTGATAATAATAAAAAATTAATTACCTGTCATAATATGGTCATACGCAGGGCACTTGAAATGCTGTCGTTATAACTGCATCAGGGCAATTCATAGTTTGCTGTGCGATAGCGCTCAGCATTGAGATGGCGACAAATGGTCTCTGACCCAACTATTCATCGTCTGCCATCGTAGCACAAAAACAACCCTAGACCATATATAAAGAAATGAGCGTGGCTGTGTTCCAATAACATTTTCCCTACTGACACCGAAATGTGAATTTCCTACTTCAGTTTCTATGGATCACAAAATATTCTTCTTCTTTACCCCCCCCCAACCATTTAAGTACATAAAAACCATTCTTCATTTTCGGGCCATATGAAAATAACAAGCCAAATCTGGCCCGTAGACCATTATTTGCCAATCCTTGATCAATACTTTCCAGAAGAGAAAAATGAAGCTTCTGGCTATAACATTTTGGAGGGCACTTACAGTCTGACGGTCCCATACACAATGTTGTATATAAATTCATATCTATGTCCTCTAAACTACCCTCGGGGGCAAATATTATTATTATGCTTATAATCCCGTATTATACTATATTATTATTATACTATATTATACAGAAGAGGCGACTAAGGAAGAGAAATTTTCAGTACCTTGGCCAAAGATATCAAACCCCCCGTAGCACTGTCCAATAAAATTTTCTATGCGAGGGAAAACATTTCATATCTCCTCTTCAAATACAGTAGCTACAAGTCATATGACTACCGAGCACTTGAAATCAGTGACTAAAACCCTGAAGTTTTAGTTTTACTTAATTTTACTTAATGTTTAGTTTCTTTTCAATAGCTACACTGGACAATACTGCTCTAATGGGGAGAGTGAGGGAACAGATAGACACAGGAAGAAAGAGAATAAGTAAATTATCCACGGTGTCCCACAGCTAATAAATGAAGGAGCAAGGACTTGAAGCAGGAATTTCAAGCCCTAAAGTCCATTGTCTTGGCACTGAAACGACCAGCCAAAGCTAGCAGTGGACCATGATTTCTGGGCAGGTGCTTGTGGAAGTCAGTCTACATAGAGGTTCTTAGGTATTCGAAGAAAATCGAAATTACCGCTGTGACCTGTCCAGGAGCCCGTCCCAGGTGGTCCATTCTCCTGAAACTATAATCTGAAGACTGATTGCAGGTGTTTTTGAGAGTCACCCTGAGGTTGTCTATCACGTAAGCCTCTGGAGAACTGTTTCCAAGCCAGGGGGTCCAGAGGGAGCTCCATGTTGGGCTTAAGGGTACATCTCGCAGGCAGTTTTCTCCCATGAGAGTGTCGTAGAAAACCCATTTCATCTTGTGGAGGAAGGTATCAGACACAGGAGACCCATGCGGTCTGAGAAGTTTTGAGGGACCAACGGGCCAGCATGAAGCTGGCGAACCAGGGCTCTGCCCCAGCTCTAAACCATAGCAAATGGCAGCTCCTCATGGGGCATTTTTCACCTGCAGCCCATTTGGAGCAGAGCTCTGGGTTTTCCAGGGAAGCAGGGGTGAGTGGCAGCTTTGGACACACAGGGCAAGGGCAAGGGCACAGTTGTGTGTCAGGCGAGCTTTCTGACGTGCCGTAATGTGTTCTCTCTACAGTGGGAAAAACAGAATGTATGACGTCATCCAAGAGACGATTGAAAATGATTTTCCAACCTTCCTGGGCAAGATCTTTGCTTTCCTCGCCAACCCTGGCCTGATCATCCCAGCCATCCTGCTGATGTTGTAAGTCAGCCAGGGCCCCTCCCCTTGCCCTTGAGACTCCCCTGGCGGGTCCTCCTTTCCTGCCCTCTTACTTAATCTACACTTCCCAGAGGCAGAGCCCAAGACGAAGACTCGAACACAAATAGTTAATTGGTGAGGGAGGAAGGTCATTATCACTGGGATGATTTTAATGGGGATGTGGAGGGGGGTGGGGGGGGGGGCTCTGGGAAACAGTGTGTCTGAGTCATCCTGCTCAGGGGTGAGGGATGGGGCTTTCGTAGACCAGCACCCATCGGTCACTGGTTGGGTGAGATCAAAGGGGAGAGGGGATGTTTCCTCAGCCATTTGAGTCAGGTGCATTCGCGGGTAGAACAGATTCCGCAGGGGAATGGAAGGGAAACTCCAGGCACAGAGGTGAAGGAACTGGCAGTTGTAAGTCTTTCGGGGAGCACGCTGAAAGACGGGGTCCAGGGGCACCTGGGTGGCTCAGTCGGTTGAGCGTCCGACTTCGGCTCAGGTCATGATCTCGCGGTCCGTGAGTTCAAGCCCCGCGTCGGGCTCTGTGGTAACAGCTCAGAGCCTGGAGCCTGTTTCAGATTCTGTGTCTCCCTCTCTCTGACCCACCCCCGTTCATGCTCTGTCTCTCTCTGTCTCAAAAATAAATAAACGTTAAAAAAAATTAAAAAAAAAAAAGACGGGGTCCAAGGAATACAGATGGGCAAGCCAGTATTTTGCAGCACCCTCCTAAAGGTTCGCTAGAAATATCAAAGATTTCTGGGCTCTGAGTCTCTGAGGGCTGATTCAGCCTGTCCCTGGCTGGGCCCCGGAGGACTTCTCCACAGGGCATGCCGTGCACCTGCACATTTGGGTCTCACCACTATCCCTCCCAAAGACTGAGAAAGCCCCGAGGACAGTGGGTGGGTTTGACGATTTCTGTACCCCCAACACCAGCCTAGGCCGTAGGAAGTAAATGACAAATAGTCAAGGAAGGAACGAGGGAAGAGAGAAAAGAAGGTGGGAAGCAAGAGTCCTGAATTTGAATTACTGTCATCAACAATGTTCTAGTGAGGGGCACCTGGGTGGCTCAGTCGGTTAAGCGTTCGACTTCAGCTCAGGTCATGATCTCACAGTTTGTGAGTTCGAGTCCCGCGTCGGGCTCTGTGCTGACAGCTCAGAGCCTGGAGCCTGCCTCTAATTCTGTGCCTGCCTCTCTCTCTGCCCCTCCCCTATTCATACTCTCTCTGTGGCTCAAAAATAAATAAATGTTGGGGCACCTGGGTGGCTCAGTCGGTTAAGCGCCCAACTTCGGTCTCATGGTTCATGGGTTCAAGCCCCACGTCGGGCTCTGTGCAGACAGCTCAGAGCCTGGAGCCTGCTTCGGATTCTGTGTCTCCCTCTCTCTGCCCTTTCCCCAGCTCACACTTTGTCTGTCTCTCTCAAAACTAAATAAACATTAAAAAAAATTTTTTTAATAAATAAAGGTTAAAAAAAAATTAATGTACTAGTGAAAATATTAGGGCATTTTTCTTCATAAAAATCTTTTTTTGGCATGCTTTTTTTTTTAATTGTGAAATATTCCTGGGACACCTGAGTAGCTCAGTCAGTTAAGCATCAGACTTTGGCTCGAGGTTTGTGGGTCCGAGCCCTGCATCGGGCTCTGTGCTGACAGCTCAGAGCCTGGAGCCTGCTTCGGATTCTGTGTCTTCCTCTCTCTCTCTGCCCCTCCCCCATTCGCACTCTGTCTCTCTCTCGCTCTCAAAAATAAATAAACATTAAAAAAAAATTATGTAGGGGCGTGTGGGTGGCTCAGTCGGTTGAGCATCCGACTTCAGCTCAGGTCATGATCTCTCGGTCCATGAGTTCGAGTCCCGCATCAGGCTCTGGGCTGACGGCTCAGAGCCTGGAGCCTGCTTCCGATTCTGTGTCTCCCTCTCTCTCTGCCCCTCCCCTGTTCATGCTCTGTCTCTCTCTGTCTCAAAAATAAATAAATGTTAAAAAAAATTTTTTTAATAAAAAAAATTATGTATTGTGAAATATTCCTAACCTACAGAAAAGTAGAGGCAACCATGAACATGATTCCAAGAGTAAACAGATGTTAATATTTTGCAGTGTTTGCTTCAGATTTGTCACTTTCCACGAAATAAAATGTTACAGATAACACTTCAAGTCCCACCTAATCCTGCTCTCTCCCTCCCTCTCTCTCTCTCTCTCCCAAAGTAACCGCTCTTGGAACCATTTGCACGCACGTTTTGGTATTTTCATCACGTTGGCCGTGTCCTATTGTTTTCTGGGCTTTAAATTTTTTCGCGAATGGTTCACCCAGCATAGCTTTCCTCACTCAACATTATGTTTGGGGAATACATGAGCACACATTTTAATGGCTCTACTCCCATCTGCTGTATGATTAAACCACAGTTTATCACCCCTCTGCCTAGAGGTGGGTAGATTGTTTCCACTTTTTTTGCTACTGCAGATGTGGTCGTTGGGCAAATGTGAGGGATTCCCTAGGACAGACCACGGGAAATGGAGTAGGGAATTGTGGGTATGAGTTTCTTCAATCTTTCTATTTTATTTTATTTTATTTTATTTTGTTTTGTTTTATTTTATGTGTGTATGTATGTATTTATTTGAGAGAGAGAGAGAGAGAGAGAGAGAGGCAGAGCAGGCGAAGGGCAGAGAAGAGAGGGAGACACAGAATCCGAGGCAGGCTCCAGGCTCCGAGCTGTCAGCACAGAGCCTGACACGGGGCTCGAACTCACGGACCATGAGATCATGACCTGAGCCAAAGTCCAGACACATAACCGACTGAGCCACCCGGGCGCCCCTTTCCAGTCCTTTTAGATAGTGCTGAAGTGCTCCCCCAAATAGGTGTATTTCCTCCCATCCTTGATTGGAACATCAGCCTCTCTCATCCTGGCCTGGGAGAGGACTGGGATGATGGTGACAACCTGGCCTATGCCTTGACCGCCTGAGGAAATTCTGGAACCCACACACCAAGCCTGACCCTTGCAGGTGGCACCAGGAAGTGCTAAATTTGGGGACGGAGGGACACAGCCACCCATGAGGATTTCATCCTCTCCTACCTCCGATTCCTCCCTAATAAATGGGTTGTTAACTAGGAGAGAAGGTGAGGCCTGGCACAGAGCAGGGACTTGCACAACAGATTCTGCTCCCCCTGCCTGTCCTCCCTTCTCTCCTCTGAGTCTCTCCTGCAGGAGGCTCCCATGACAGTCTGGGGCCCACGCTGTGCCTCGAAGACAAGGCGATTCCTCCCCTCTGGCGGGAGGGAGCTGGCCGACTGGAGTTGCCCTGAGCGGGCCCCACCCTGAGGGGAAAGCTTAGAAGACCCAAGCCGGAGCAGCTAAGGCTTGAAATCCAGGGAGAAAAGTGACAAATAAGGATGAACCACAAAAGCCCCCAAGGAACAGGCCGACACAGCACCCCATCCGGGTGGCACCTCGGCTTTTGTGGCCCCTGTCCTCTCAGGTGGTGCACCCAAGTCACAACCCCCCCGATCTCAGGTCCTGTGAAAGGGAAGCCCACGCTCTGGCCTCAAAGGACGCCTAGGCAGCTGGTAGGAGCTGGACCTTGAAAACCATCAGCCCAAGACAGTGCTCCCTAAGCAGGGACCTCCAGGACTTCGGCAGCTGTGTTTTCAAGCAAACTTGGAGCAGGCACCTAGCGCCCAGACTCTCCTCTCTCAGCCCTCGAGGCCTGTGGAAAAGAGCTTTAGCTAAATGCGGGCTCCCCCAAGAACTGATAGATGGGGCCACCTCGGGCAAACCCCTGAACGTCTCACCATTCCAGGTTGCTGATCTGGAAAAGATCGTCCTTTCTACCTCATGGGGTTTTGGTGAAGACCGCTGAGATGTGGAGTGGGATGCACGCGGCGCGGAGCCTGACACAGGGCAGGTACCCAGGAAGCAGGGTCAGGAGACCCTGCCCCTCCCCCACCTCTTCAGATTTCCAAGAAGGAAGGCTTTACTGAGCACTCTGAGAGCTAAAAATGTGTATGTCATTTCCACATTGAATAAAACAGAAGGCACAGGTGTCCAGAACCTCCCCCGCACTAAGTGGAGACAGAATAGGTGTTCTATCCCTCCAGCCTGCCCAGAGGCCAACCTACTCCGGGAAGCCGGCCTTGATTCCTCTGGAAGGGATCCAGCTCTTGTCACTTTCCAAGACTGCGGTATCACAGGAGGCTCACTTTTCTCTTGCAGCCTGGCCATCTACTACCTGAACTCGGTTTCCAAAAGCCTTTCCCGAGCGAATGCCCAGCTGAGAAAGAAAATCCAAGCGGTGAGTCTGTCGGGAGTTTTCGCTCAAACAGATGTCACGTTTTTGTCTTCTGCTGATTCGCTCTTTGAGCCCAGCTGTACGATCTACATGGCTTTCTTCTAAACGAAATCCCAAACTATCCGTATTGCAGGAAGCCTTGTAAGATCGAACAACACGCGTTTATGTTCTGAGGATATTTGGGGGGGGCACACAATAATAACGCCTTCGATCTGGAGAGGTTGCTAATGAACAGGAGAAATTTAATACAACCAGTAAAAATTTCAGTAAAACCAGTACCCATAATAATGCCTACAGTTTAAAGCTAACACAATAAACACTAGAGAAAATATTGTCAAAATGACTTAGTGCTTGTGCCCAGGGCCTAAGGGGTCTCTTAAGCCCCTCGCCACTGTTTCTCTCTCCCTCTCCCTCTCTCCACCAGCTGACTTTTGACTGCTCTTTCTACTCTCCCGGCCCACAAACCCCTCCTACACATGGGAAAGGGCAGACCCCAACCCTCTCTGAGCCTTGTCTTCCTGGCTCCTTGCGCCCCCCCCCCCACTTCTGGAATAATTTCATTTGCCTCGCAGCCACTTCCCTATCCACATCTCCCTCTGTTAATCTCACCATCCTCCTGCCCAGATTCCAGAAAGCCTTGAAATGGAGGACTGGCGAGGTTTCTGTCCTCCCCTGGCCAGATGTTCCTTCAAATACTGTGCAGGGGCGCCTGGGTGGCGCAGTCGGTTAAGCGTCCGACTTCAGCCAGGTCACGATCTCGTGGTCTGTGAGTTCGAGCCCCGCGTCGGGCTCTGGGCTGATGGCTCAGAGCCTGGAGCCTGTTTCCGATTCTGTGTCTCCCTCTCTCTCTGCCCCTCCCCCGTTCATGCTCTGTCTCTCTCTGTCCCAAAAATAAATAAACGTTGAAAAAAAAAATTAAAAAAAAAAAATACTGTGCAAACCTGAGTCTTGGGCTGTCCCTCTTCAACCAGTGGTGAGGACCTACAAGAACTGAAGACGGAGTCCTTGTCCCCCTAGATCTCAACATCCTAGGCTCTGAGCCTCAAACACTCATTTCCCTGAGAACTAATTATTTCTCCCGCAGCTCCGTGAAGTTGAGAAGAGCCACAAATCTGTCAAAGGCAGGACCACAGCCAGAGATTCAGAGGACACAGCTAAAGGCAACTCCAAAAATGCCACCCAGCTCCAGCTCACCAAAGAAGGTAAATTCTAGGGGCGAGTGGGAGGCTCAGTCGCTTGAGCATCTGACTCTTGATTTTGGCTCAGGTCATGATCTCACGGTTCGTGGGTTCGAGCCCCGCATCGGGCTCTGCGCTGACAGCTCGGAGCCCGGAGCCTGCTTCCGATTCTGTGTCTCCCTCTCTCTCTGCCCCTCCCCTGCTCATGCTCTGTCTCTCTCTGTCTCAAAAATAAATTAAAAAAAAAAAATTTAGTGTCCAGGGATGAGATGCAGAAGAGTGACTGGCTGGCAGCTTATCGTAAAGCTGAAGAAAATATTTGAAATCTTCTCAGGTTCCCACATGGGACAGGAAATGGAGTAAATGCGATGTTATGTTGTAATTTCACCAGCAGAAGTGAGACCAAAAAATGGAACGGACGTATCTGGGCGCCAATAGACTTAAGTGTGGAAGGGGAAAAAAAATAGATGTACAAAAGGTTTTCTATGAGAAACCAAGGAACGCACACTGGTTTGGCAGTGGTAGTGTCACGGCCCCCACAGTCCCAATGTGCCTGTCCCTCTTACCCACTCCTTCCCCGCCCTGCCCCTCTGGCTGCTGCTTTCAACCCTGCCCTTCTCCAAATTTGAGTTTTCAGGGGCCCCTGGGTGGCTCAGCCGGTTAAGCGTCTGACTTTAGCTCAGGTCACGATCTCGGGGTTCGTGGGTTCGAACCTGCTGCCGGGGCAGAGCCTGCTTCGGATCCTTTGTCCCCCTCTCCGTCTCCCCCTCCCCAACCCCCAACCAGACGCACGTGCCCTCCTCTGTCTCTCAAAAACAAACACTTAAAAACCTTTTTTGAATTTTTGTTACAAATCCAAAGCCCTTTCAATTGTGTACCGAGTAACTCAGCACTGCAGTGTTTGATGTTTAAAAAGGTAGCGTGATCTAGAACACATCAGCGGGAGTAGGCTGGCGGGGGAGCACCTAGGAAGATGGCCAGCATTTCATCGGAAAAACTCATGGCCTCCATCGCTGCCCTCACTTAGCTTCTCTTCTTGAAGAATTTGCTAGAATGATACCAGTTACTGTAACAAACAGGCCCAAACAACTAATGACTCAAACACAACGAAAGTTTCCTTCTCACTCCACGTAAAGTCCAAATTGGGTGTTTCACCTGACGGCCACTTTCTTTGCAAGTGACACCCGCAGGGACGCTGGCTCCTTCCATCCCGTGACTCCACCCGCATCAGGTTGGTGCGGGGGGAAGAGGCCAGAGGACACCTGAAAGTGGGGCTGGGCAAAGCCTGGACTTCAGTCACAGGCCACATTCACCCACCGTGAGAACCTAGTCCATTTCTGTGTCCCAGGAACTGGGTCTGGTGAAGAACGTGCCAGCAATTGCCCCGAGGTCAGAGTGAGGGGAAGAGAAGGACACGGGTAAGCGAGAGCACTGGAAATTGGATATGATGCCACACAGGTTGCAAAGGCCCTTCCAGCATTGTCTGTGACCCTGTCAGCCGCCGGGGAGGCTGTTATTATCATCCCAACGTCATGCTCAAGAGAACCCAGGCTCAGGGAGTGCAGCTTAAGGCCAACATTCGAAATCTAGCTCTTCGGCCAGCAGACCATATTCCTCCGGCAGATCCGTTCATGCTAAGGCTAGGCCGAGGCCCAATAGTGGCCCCCAGACACCCAAGGGCCACCTGACCATTGTCACATCACCAGATGGGACTGAAATCCACAGGCCGAGCAGGGCAGCTCCAAAAGGGCTCCGATTCGATAGCGGGCAACTGAAGCAAATCCTCCCACGCCCTCATTCTTGTCTTGGTTCCTTTTCCAGGGACCACGCCTCACTCTGCCGGCCAAAGTCAGACCGCAGGCAAGAAGGCCCAGGATCCTGGGATCTCCAGTTCTGCCGGCAGGATCACGCTGCCTGTCTCCCAGCACCTCCCCGGATCTTGGCCTCCTGGTGTCAGACCAGAGTCTGGCCAACCTCGGCCTCAGACCCATCCTTGGAGGTCAGCCTCTGGAAAGAGCGCTCCCAGACCTCCCCACTGATAGCGGGGATACACAAGCACCATTCTGGGGCTGATCCTTGGGCCCCGCCAGCTCACACACCCAAAACGATATTCTCTCTTCCTCTCTCTCTCTCTCTTTCACGCGCACACACACACACACACACACACGATACCCACGCACGCACGTTCTCTCTCCTCTCATTGAATGTGGGAATTTCAATTACTTAGTCTCAGGCACTTGTTGGCCACCACAACTGGAGGACAATGGCTTCATCCACTCTTAGGGGGAGCTGAGCCTCCCGACTCCCCCTAAACTGCCCTTCCTAGTATCTTGGTTCAGGCAGCCTGGACCTTGAACTCACCATGGTTCTCTCGGCTCCAGACTTTGGGAGGAGGGACCAGGGCCATGATCATCACCATAGACTTTGTCATGGCACCCATGTTGGGACCCTGGTTTCTGCTAGCCTTACTAACTGGGAGGAGGGGCCCACATTCTTAACTGTCAGCCCTATCCAAAGGAGATGAGGCGGTTTAGGGGCGCCTGGGTGGCGCAGTCGGTTAAGCGTCCGGCTTCAGCCAGGTCACGATCTCGCGGTCCGTGAGTTCGAGCCCCGCGTCAGGCTCTGGGCTGATGGCTCAGAGCCTGGAGCCTGTTTCCGATTCTATGTCTCCCTCTCTCTGCCCCTTGCCCGTTCATGCTCTGTCTCTCTCTGTCCCAAAAATAAATAAACGTTGAAAAAAAAATTAAAAAAAAAACAAAAAACAAAGGAGATGAGGCGGTTTAAATAAAAGGTGCAAGAAAGCACTGAAAGCAAAGGTAAATGAGCCAAAGCGCAGCCATGGTGAGTGGGAAGATGGTTCTCCCCCAGAACCCAGCCTGAGGGGAGCTGAGGCCATTAAGCAGCAAAAAATGCATCGGAGCCTTCTAGCAGCAAGGCAACAAGCAAGTGTTTCTTCCAACCGAAGAGGACTTAGATTGCTCGGGGCAGAAAATCCTTCTCAAGCATCAAATTCTAAAAAGAATTTGATAGTCTGCTTATTGTCTAGGGAATGTTGAAGATGGTTTCTCTGAGGAGTTTTGCAAAGGATGCAATGCAATCGCCTTGTCTGGCGATTCGATGTTCAGCTAAGATGCGGTTCTCTGCAAAATGTCTCCTCGGGGGCATAAGCCAGGGAGCCCCAAGCCATGGAGAAGGCCTCGCCAGCAAGGACAGAGGCTCGGCAGGGAGCGAGTCACAGCCCAGGACACTGACAGCGCAGGTATCCTGCAGGTGGTTTCCTCCCCTCCTCTGCGCCTTGTTCCCAGCCCCCCCCCACCCCCCGTGAGCCATGTGGCTTCAGAATCATCTCATGCCTGGTCTCTGAGTGCTCTAAGGGGAGTCCTCTCCCCGACCCATGGCCCAACCACGGCCCCAGGGGTTTTCAGGAGAAGCCCCCACACCTTGGAGGTCAGGCAAAGTCCTGGTGGGGAGATGGAGATTTTATAGAGATTTCATAAGCTATAAATTATAAAATAAGTCCCAGGTTCTCTCCCACTTCCTTCCCCTTCCCAACCCAGCATCAACGCTTCACGTGTGACCTGGAACGGAGTGGGAACGGGGACCACATGATGGGGAGAAACAGATCAGTTCTTTCTCCCCTATCTCCGGGCGAGGCTAACGAAAATGTTTGTGGAACTCAGGTCCAACCCTCAATCCCAGACTCTTGTGTGTCATGTGCCTTCTTCTGGGAGGACACAATCTGGTCCTGAGCTTACTACCTACCTGACCCCTCGACATGGGAATCCAGGCTGCCTAACCCAACCACCCAGGACTGGGAGGTCAGACACCTGACCTTCAGAGTCACCCGCCTACATAATGCCAGCCCCTGGGGAGGGGAACGAGAGGGGCCTGAGTCATCAGCCTCCTAGTGATCCCTGTCCGGCTCCCAATGGCTACCCAGATGCCTAAGCACCCACTATAAACACAAACACACTATCCTTTTCTCTTTTTTTAAGATTTATTTTTGAGAGAGAGTGCAAACGGGGGAGGGGCAGAGAGAGAGGCAGTCAGAGGATCCAAAGCAGGCTCTTTGCTCACAGCAGTGAGCCCGATTCGGGCTTGAACTCACAAACCGGGAGATCATGCCCTGAGCCCAAGTGGGACGCCCAAACGACTGAGCCACCCAGGTGCCCCACAAACACTTTATCCTGTCCTGAGGATGCACAATTTTATGTGAGGGGGTGTATTTGTTGTCTGTTTCTACATAACAGATTACCCCCCAAACTTTGCAACTTCAACACTTAGTATCTCACCGTTTCTGTGGGTCAACCATTTGGGAGTGGCCTTCCTGGGCAGTTCTGCCTCTGGGTATCGCTCAAGATCTCAGGCCGGGCTACAGGCGCCGGAAGATTTGGCTGGGACTGGAAGATTTGCTCTCAAGATGGTTCCTACACATGGCTGTTGACGGGAGGTTTCATTCCCTGCTGGCTATTAACAGGAGACTTCAATTGCTCCCCATGTGGATCTCGCCAGGGAGCTGCTGGGGTGTCCTCACAACACAGCGGCTGGTCCCCACCCCCACCCACGCCCCCAGAGCAAGTGATCCGAGAGAGAGAGAGAGAGAGAGAGAGAGAGAGAGAGCAAGGAGGAAGCCACATGCCTTTTATAGCCTAGTCTCAGAAGGTACACCGTCAATCCTACCACTTTCCATACGTTAGAACTCAGTCACTAGGTCTAGCTCACGCTCAAGGGTAGGAGATTAGGCCCCATCTCTCGAAGGGAGTTATCGAAGAATTTTTGAACGTGTTTTAAAAGGAGCTTTCCTAATTCAAACAGTCGCAAGACTTCGGTCAAACTCTAAAGCTTTTTCGAGAGTTGTCCATCAGAGAATTAGCTAAGGTGGTTCCCAGGACCCTCAAGCAACAGGAATCTTCCACCGAGCTAGGGAGAGAGGCAGGGGAAGAAGGCACGGGTAAGAGAGGAAGGGTGTTGTTGATACAGTGTGGCTTTACAGTGGGGGCGTGTTATTAGAAAACGGTCCTATCTGCGATTCAGCCTACCCAGGAGCCATCAGACATGAAGATCACTCTTTCTTCTTTTTACTCCCTCCCTCCCTCCCTCCCTCTGTCTCCCTCTCTGTCTTTCCTTGGTCAGCTCACCTAAGAACGATTTGAAATAGAAAGTCTATTTAACAATTTATCCAGAGAACTACGGCTGGTGTCTTACTGATGGTACCTTGTTTGTGCATTTCTTACTGGGGGAAAATGAAATGGACACTGGTTTCTATCTGTCAGGGGTTATTTCTGCAGTCAGATCCTTTCATTTCCGATAATCGCGCTCTATGACCATAAAGAACGTCATTGCACACAGACTCACATAAGTAGGAACACATCTTTGGGGAAGATCATGGAAGACACCTGATCTCGCCATGGCTTGCATACTCACAGAAACCGGGGTATGGTGCACCAGCCAGTAAGGGGAGCTGGGCCATGTACCAAGAGCATCCACTCTGCTGGTGACCCTCAATTCAGTAAACTCCCTTCAGTCATTCTCGGGAGAGGCCCACCCAAAGCTGAGACACCCAAGTTCCTATAAGGGATAATAAGGAAAAAAAACCTGCACTGCAGAAAGGGACGTTTGTCCTTTTTTGACCTTGGCAGAAAGTGGAGGAGGAAAAAGTCTCCCTTGAGAATTTATACCCACAAGGCAACCCTCACACAGAGGATCTCAGCTCCCACACCAACTGGGCATTCCCAAAACCTCAAATGGAAAAGTTTAATTTAAAGTGATCTTAGGTTCATAGCACCTCCGAGAAAGAGGGGGGCAGAAAGGCAAAGCAACAACAACAAACAATGTAACGAACAGAAAGCGTGTAAGATGGGAGAAATGGGATATATCAGCAATCAAAACAAACGCAAATAGACCAAGCCCTGCAGATAGAGGACAGAGATTATCAGATGAATATTTTATAATCCCGTGTGCTGTTTCTAAGAGATACCTTTAAAACCTAAGGCTAGAGTCAGTAGGGACTTTATTGCTTTTTGTTCCTAGGGAACAAAACTAAAATACAATCTTCAAAGGCAAAATCACCAGGGGTGTGAGGGCCATCCAATTTTATAAGTTAGGCTTGTTTTTGAGTGCTGAGGATTGCTGTTAAAGACAGCTCTCTGCAGCACTGTGCCAGGTAATTTGTTCTGCGATGCAGTATTGGTTTTAGAAAGTGGGAAGAAAGGCCCAAGATAATGGGTTGGGGCAGATGAGGTATACAGAGCATTACAGACATCTCTGTCACCGGACCATGTCTGCAAAATGAGCCATAGAAACCTGAGCTCCAAATTCCGTTAGAAAGATCCTACAAGTTGACACGTGTAAGACACATGTAAGTCAAGCACGGTGCTACAGGCTCAGAAATAACAGATATGATCACAGGCGTGGACGAGATCAAACATCCTGGAGGGGCGCCTGGATGGCTCAGTCGGTTAAGCGTCCGACTTTGGCTCAGGTCATGAGCTCACGGTTCAAGGGTTCAAGCCCCGTGTCAGGCTCTGTGCTGACAGCTCACAGCCTGGGGCCTGCTTCGCATTCTGTGTCTCCCTCTCTCTGCCCCTCCCCCACTCATTCTCTGTCTCAAAAATAAACAGACATTAAAGGAAAATTTAAGATCAAAAATTTATGAACTCAATGATCTTCCTTGGACGCTTTTCATTCTTCTGTGTGTGTGGAAATATTGTTCATATGTGTAACTCATTACCAAAGACTGTTGCAGGGGTTATTTCCACATCTGAGAAAAGGGCCAAGGAATTCCTGGAAGTCTTTCAAATTCAGTGTGAGGGTTTTCCATTCTAGAAATGAGTGTAGAGTGCCGCCATCTTGAGGTTGTTTCATGCAATTTCCTTTCCTGAAGTTCTCCCTGCGCGCTGGAATTTAAAAAGCATCTTCCATTTCCATAGGTCCCCAGTAGTGTCGACAGGAGTGAAAATTCTGGGCTAACTTACACCGAAATGACACAGTGAGCCACAGCCTGGGCTAAATAAAAGCGGAATAGATGCTATAGAGTATGATTCTTCCCAGTGAATGGACAGTTCTATCTACAGGGAGAAAGAAAAGGCTCCAGGTGCCACACGGCTTTAAAGCTTGAACCTGGGGCGCCGGGGTGGCTCGGTCAGTTAAGCGTCCGACTTTGACTCAGGTCATGATCTTGCGGTTTGTGGGTTTGAGCCCTGCGTTGGGACTCTGTGGTTGGAGCCTGGAGCCTGCTTTGGATTCTGGGTCTCCCTCTCTCTCGCTGTCCCTCCCCTGCTTGTCCTTTCTCAAAAATAAACTTAAAAAAAAAAAAAAGCTTGAACCTGGAACATGCCCGGGCAACCAGCACTCTTGTTCCATCCTATAGCTCGTTTTGTTTTGTTTTGTTTTGTTTTTTTTCAAACATTTCTCTCTTTTTTTTTAATGTTTATTTATTTTTGAGAGAGGGAGACACGGAGGGTGAGCGGGGAAGGGGCAGAGAGAGAGAGACCCAGAATCCGAAGCAGGCTCCGG